TACATGTTATGTTTATGTATTTTAATTTTAGATAATAGGTTTTTTAAAACATTTTTTTTTAAATTTAAGTTTATATTTTTTATTAACATTATGTTTAATATTTTTTTGATTTTTTGGCATTTTTTTGAATTTTCTGACTTTTTTTTTGATTTTTTAGCCTTTTTTTTGTAATTTTGTGCCTTTCTTAAAAAGGCGCATGCCTCGCCTTGTGCCTTGTGCCTCAGGCGTAAATTGGCCCTTGCGCTTTTTTTTGCGCCTTGTGCTTTTAACGCACTGGGTTACTTACCATAACATCTTTGGTGTACGAAAATTAAGAGTCTTGTCTTAATCTTTATTTGTTGATGATCTTGGCGAGGGGGGGGGGGAGGATATTTGATTTCAGGGGAATGGTAACAATAGTAACAATTCAGATGAGGAAAAGTGGGATGATGTTGAGAGGGATATTTGCAAGATAAAGATGATAGGAAGTATTGTACAAGACCTGTGCAAGAAGAAAAAATGCCTATGAGTTGGAAAATAAAGAAACTGATGAAGTCACAAACAAAACCTTACTGAAGATGCTAAGTAAACAGTGGCTGAACACCAAAGAGACTGGGCGAAAAAACTTTCTAGCACATTATAGGCCTACAGAACCTTTATCAGGAAAGGAAAAAAAAAACTACCCCGTACTCCTTGGTATATGGACAAGAAGTAGTGTTGCTCGCTGAAATACAGACATTATTAGTGAGAGCGGCTTACGTGATGGAGAAAACCTTTAGCATAAAGGAGATGGATTAGATGCTATTTAACAAACTTGAAGCCCTAGATGAAATTTGAGAAAAAAGCCTACAACACCAAGTGAAATGCAAACAAATCATGGCCTCAAATTTCAGCAAGATGGTGAAGACACAAATTTTCAAAAGGCAATAAAGTACTAAAAACGACGCTACATGTTAGACAAAGCAAGTTTGTGAAGAGATTTTTTCCAAACTAGGCTGTCTCCTATACAATCAAGAAAGCACATTCATCCGGCTATTATGTACTTTGGAACCTTGAAACCAATGAAGAGGATGAAACCATTAATGGCCAGTGGGTAAAGATGTATTATGAATGGCAATGTACTTCGTATTTTATTGTCAATGAAATATTTATCTCCTCGTTTTGAGTATGCGCAACAACTTATGTACTTTTAAATATTGTTGTAATTTTACTGTCATCTTCGCAAACTTAAATTTACTGTATAATTCTTGTAACTGTTTGTCTTCCATCGCAAGGTTACAAATGCATAACATAGCACATTGATTTTTCACTATTCATTACTTTCTACAAATCGCAGTTAATTGATCAACACCAGAGAAGAAAAATAGTCCAAAAGAATGAGAGCACTGATTTAAAAAGTGTGAAAGTAAGGTAAATATAAGCTACAAAGAGAGAAGAAGAAGAGATCGACTGTAATAGGGTTTAGGAGAAGAGCAGTTCGAACATCTCTCCCTTCCCTAATCTTTTCATTAAAAATAATTACAAATATTATATAATTGCAAGTAGGCCCTTAATTGGGCGATTAACTTAATTAAACAAGAAACATAAGGGCCCATTAACAAAAAGAATAGAAACATATAGAAATAAGAACAACCTATGGGCCATTCAGCCCATCCTTTCTAGTCTCTACACTCCCCCTCAAGCTGAGCATAGATGTCAATCATGCCCAGCTTGCCAGTGTTATGTTGTAGCTTGGCTTCCGAAGTTGACCACCTATCATCAATGTTGCCTGCCCAATCATCATCTGTATAAGCCTCCAGTTTCATATGACCATGCTTAGTCAGTGTTTTAAAAGCGCAAGGCGCAAGGCGAGGTGCGCGCCTTTTTGAAGTAAGGCGCAAAAATACAAAAAAAAAGCTAAAAAATAAAAAATGTCAAAAAATTCAAAAAAATGCCAAAAAAACAAAAAAATATTAAACATAATATTAATAAAAATATAAACTTAAAATTTAAAATAAATGTTTTAGAAACACCTATTATCTAAAATTAAAATACATAAACATAAGATGTAAAGCATATTCAAAAGAGAATTTAAAAATAAAATCAAACATATAAAACATTTTCAAGCATGTAAAACCTCTAATCTCTTTTTCCACTCAATTGCATTACTTCAAGTAGCTAATGTAATGTAAAACATATTACATTCCTGTTTCTACGAGCCACCTTTGTGCCACGCCCCTCGAGGCAAGCCCAAACAAGTCCATGTTAGGTGTTAAATTCTTAATTCTCACAAAAAAATAATGAATTTATAATTTAAGTTGTTTTTTAAGAAAATATTTTATCTGGATGCCACATGGTTGATTAGGTAGGTTGCAGTGAAAACAACATCCCCCCTAGAATCTTGTAGGAACATGTGAGGCAAATAAAATGCTTCTTGCAACTTCAATTATGTGACCGTTCTTCCTCTCAGCTACTCCATTTTGTTTTGGAATACGAACACAAGAACTCTAGTGAATGACCCCAAAATCGATGAGATAAGAGGTCAGGTTTTTCTCAAAGTATTCTTTGCATTATCGGATTTGAATATTTTGATTCTTGTATCAAACTGTGTAAGAACAAATTCACGAAACTGTAGATGGTTATATTGTTTAAATTTAAAGAAAGAAAATGGCAAAATGCATTGGAACTATGCAATTAAGTTGGTAATATCCAAACATTAAAGAAAAAATTGCAAGAGCCAGGCCTTTGTGTGTGTTTATGTAGAGTCAAGCATCTTGCTTTCCATTATTTAAATGAAAAAGTGATGGCATGTCTTATGCTGACTATTGTCTTTTAAAAATATTTCTAAGAGTAGTGGATTCTTCTTGTTAATTATAAATCCAATCAGCATATATGATTCATTTCTTTATTCTTTCATGGAATTCTTTGGATCTTTTGGTGTTTATAATTCTCTTGCTTTGTTTTCAGGTTCAGACTGGGTCACAATCACAGGGTGGTCTACCCCACATCCCTCCTGCACTTAAGAACTTCTCAATGTCTCAAAAGGAGAAAACAATTGATGAGCTTGTGCGAGACCAGTGGCTTTGCTCTACCCCAGATGGTATTATCGGGCTTGGTATAAGATCCTTCCTTGATCTTAGGTTCTGGTTCCGCAATAATGACATTCCTTCATGTGACATTTGCAATGAGGCTGGAGTAAAGGTCTGCTCTCTTTTCTCTCATTCTCTGTATGTGCTTGTTTCCAAACTAATTATAGTGGCTAAGAAGAACCTTTGTCAACTTGGTCAAGTTGGAGATTTAACTTAAATGGTTCCAACAAAAGGGGCTTCATAGAATTTAGGACTGTTTAAGAACTAATAAAACAAAGGAAATAGATCYAAGCTCTATTATTTAAGGAGAATGGGAAAAATAAATATAATGATAAAAATGTTTGAAAAAATGGTCAACCTTGAAGTTATCCTAGAGAAGAGTTGTTTGGATTGAATATGTTGAAGATGAATTGTTTTCTTTCATAGCAATTGTAGGATGTTTTATTATCTCTTGACCAATGAAATACCTAGGTTTGCCTCTTGGAGCCAACCCAAGTGCTTGTAAACCCTATTATTTGAGAGATTCACCAAAAAACTTGCACCATAGAAAATGAACTACATCTGTTCAGGAGGTGGGATAACACTAAATAGATCTGCCCTAGTTAATCTCTGTCTATAGGCTCTACTATACCTCTATTTTTAAGATCCCTAGGAATTTTGTGAAGAGATAGGAGAAGATTATGAGACGATGAGAGATTTTCTATGGGAATCAAGAGAGACAAAAATAATTCATCTTTGAGGTTGACTAGAGTGTGTGTAGGGTGATGGATGAAGTCTAGGCATTGGAAATTTGACCATTAAGAATTTGGTTCTTCTTACTAAGGTTGTGTTTGGTACCATTGCCATTTCAGGCTGAAACGTTTTGAGTAGTGTGGGTGGTGCAAGTTTCGATGGCTAGAAGAGAAACCAGTTTGGTTAAAGTAGTCGATCAAGACTACAGTCAGTCTTGGATTCCAAAGGATTTCAGATTGAGAAAAGTAGAAGGAAAGAGGGAGAAGAAGAAGAAGAAAGCAGAAGTACACAAGGGTTTTGAAAAGGAGGGACAAATCGAATG